ACTGACACCGGCACTGAAGCTGATTCGGCTGGGCTGGATCCTTTGATGCAGCATCCTTGACAAGAGGTACAGTGCCATCTGCCATTGTCCGCCCTTTTCGCATGCGCTGATGCCGGCGCTGAAGCTGATCTCACTGGGCTCAAGTCCAAACGCTGGCATCTCGGCAAGGAGATGCAAGGCCACCGGCCACTGCCAACCTTTCTCACAGGCGCTGATGCCCGCGTTGAAACTCACTTCGCCAGGGACCACGCCTGCGAGGGGCATCTCGGACCTATACTGATCTTGGAACCCTAGCAGAAACTATGATTCTAGCTGTTTCTTAGGAGTTATGGTGCCCAAAAAATAAAAAGTATGTCCCAAAAATCCCTAAGGGACAAGAGCAGCAGGGCAAACTGCCACTGCCCCTTCTTCTCACAGGCGCTCATGGTCGCGTTGAAGCTGATCTCATTCGGCGGGATCCCCTCGTTTGCACTACGTGGCTTGTGAGATAAGCTCCCAACTCTACACAACACAAGAAGGCGGGCAGTTCTTCAAATGAGGGTCCCTTTTGGGGTCCTCCCTGTTCAGGGTGCCGTACAAACCCTAACCTTTAAACCGAAACCCAGAACCAAAGCCAAGCTTCATGTTGCGGCATGCTGGCCAGCCTTGGCTGCTCAGGACCTTCAGCAAGATACCAAAACATCCTCACCTACCCTGAACCCCAAATCGGAGAGCCGAGAACCTGTAAGCTCTACATTCTGATGGGAAGACCATTAAACTTAGTTGCTGAGTTCATGAGCCCCCCCAAAAAAAACAAGTGTACACTTTCCGTTCTACAGGCGGTTTAGTATCCCAAAAAGTGGAAAGTGTACTCATTCAGCTGCTAAGATTAACAGCAACCCAATACTATTCTGAACTTGGAACCCTAGCAAGAATTGTAAGTTTTAGCTGTTTCTTAGGAATTGCAGTGCCCAAAAATCAAAACTTATTCCCAAGAATCCCTACACTGCCAGGGGCCTAATAGTTAGGTTTCTAGAACCTGAAGGACTCAATTTTTAGGTTCCTGGAAGTATAGGGATTCACCGCAACCCAGTAGCAGTTCCAGTGCCATTTGCCAGCGGCCGGCCTTCTCACAGGCACTGATCGCGGCACTGAAGCTGACCACTGTCGGGGCACAACCGCGATCCTTCTCAAAGTACGAGGGCTTAGGGTTTAGGGTTTCGGGTTTAGGGTTAGGGAAATGCCGAGAACTGTGGCGCGGTGTCTTCTCGAAGTGGGTTGGTTCCGTCTCGGCTACCCAAACGATGATAAGAGGCTCATAGGATAGCAAACACAGGACCCCGAAGTTCGGGAAGCTACCGCGCAGAGTGATGGACGTGAGCCGTGACCTAAGAAAATTATTTTAATTCGAACAAGAGTTGAGTTTCAAATCTAACAGCCCCACACCGAATGTGGGAAAAAAGGAGAGATTTGCGGTGTCTCAACCACTCTATAGGATTCGAATATGCCGGTGCTACAAACTAAGGGCAATTACATGGTCCCTTAATATGGGCCCCCTATACAACCAAAGGGCCCATACTTCAGAACCCTTTAAAGGAGGTAAGGGACCATATTAAGGGCCATAAAGCTACCCTGTTATACAATTTAGTGTCTAATTGGAGCTTAGCACCCGCCTGTCGCACCCCTCTGTGCCCTTGAGAAGGTGATACTAACTAAGGCGGCCGGTGACCCTTGAACCGTATATGCACCCCCAGCCTTTACACCCGAAAGCCCCAAAGCCCTCAAACCCTGAACCCGAAACCAAAAAACAACTTTACACACCTAAACCCTAAAAGCCCCTAAGCTTAAACCCGCTAAACCCTAAAACCCCTAAGCCCTTAAACCCGCTAAACCCTAAACCCTAAACGCTAAGCCCTAAACTCTCCACCCCCTTGAGCCTAAACTCTCATGTTCCGGCAGGAGTGCTTCGAACCCTAAACCCTGAACCTTGAACCCTAAACCTCAAACCCTCAACCCCTTAAAAGAAGCCAAACGCCCTGTACCGCCTCTTCCATGGTGGCCAGCAGGTTCAAGCCTCGGTGTTGACCAGTGGGTTTATAGGGTTCATAGAGTTTATGGGGTTTATGGGGTTTATGGGGTTTATGTTGTTTATGGGGTTTATGGGGTTAGGGTTTGGAGGTTTCGGGTTTAGGGTTGAGGGTTTAGGGCTTAGGGTTTAGGGTTTAGGGTTTGAAGGTTTAGGGTTTGGGGTTTAGGGTTGTATCTGCTTGGCACTGCTAACAGTCAAGTTTGCAGGGCTATTCAGGACACCTTTAGAAATCAATTGCCGGGCCTCACTGTCCCTTCGAAACTCATACAAACTCCTCCCTTTTTCAAATCCTATGAAAACAGCGGAGCGCTTCAAGATAGCAAAACCAGCTTCGACTGTTCACTACGGCAGGTACAGCATGAGGGATTAGGATTCAGCCACTAAACCCTAAACCCTAAACCCTAAACCTCAACCCTAAACCCTAAACCCTGAACCCTAAACCCAGTAACCACAGAATAAGGGTGCCTCTGTTAGGGTTGCTTTATTGGGGGATGCGAAGCATGTGCCCTTCATGTGGGTCCCTTGTTATGTAACCCTTATATACACTATACATGAAGAGGGCCCATACTTCTTATCTCTAGAAACAAGGGCCATGGTCAGATTTATAAGGGAACCTTGAACCCAACAAACGGACAGAAGGGCACCACGGGTTTAGCACTTTTGCGGGTTTATGTTTTTGTTTGCAGTTTCTTCTGGGGCCCTCCCCAAACCCCAAACCCTAAACCCTAACCTGAAAAACCCTAAACCCTAAACCCTAAACCCCACACCCTAAACCCTAGACCCTAGACCCTGAAACCTAAACCCTAAACCCTTGGGCGACCACGAGGCCCTGTGCCCAAAGTCCGCAGCTGGCGCACGCGCTGATGGCAGCGTTCACCTGGAGAGCACTTCTGAAGTACTTGGAGGCTCATGGCACTTAGTAGCCCCTAGGTTTTAGGGTTTAGGTTTAGGGTTTAGGGGTACTTGGAGGTTCATGGTTGCTAGATATAACTGTACTTATAACCTAATTATCACCCCACTAGGGTACTTCAGGGGCGTATAAGTGGGTCAGAAGTACACTTATGATTGGGTTTATAATATCCCACGTAAGCCTCAATAATTAGAATAGGGTTTCGGGGTTGCATTAGAATAAACAGAAAGGGACCACAAAGAAATACGATTCATAATTATTCCGACCCCTATATCAGCTGGGGTTGAGTGATTTGGGGTTTAGGGCTTTGGGGCTTAGGGTTTGGGGTTGATGGGATTTTGAGTTTGAGGTTTGGGGTTTAGGGCTTGGGCTTCGGGGTTTGGGGTTTTAGGGATTTGGGGTTTGAGGTTCGGGGTGTAAGGCTTGGGGTTGATGGGTTTGGGGTGCACTCGCGGCTCTGGTTACTGGTTTTGCTCTTCAACTCATGTGCCTACCCCAAATCCTAAACCCTAAACCCTAAACCCCGTAAAATCGAGCGGATTAGCAATGCTCTTGCGCAGGCTTGCGGGGTAAGGCACTCTCCGGCATCATCAGCTTCGGCCCGCACAAAATGCAGGAAAAAACTAAACCCCAACAAAAAAACCCTCAGCCTAATCATGAGTGCCAAACACAAAACACGCCCCACCCCACCCCCCCTCCCCTTCAAAAACAACAGAAAAGTAAACATGCCCCAAACCCTGAACCCCAAAAAACCTGCAAAGGAACCTATCAGTGAAGAAGCCCTACGGATAGAGTCGAATACCCTCAACTCAGCCCTTTGGGACTGCATCACCTTCGGGGGGATTCAGGGTTTATAGGGTATTAAAGACACTCCTTGGGATATGTTAATGCGGGAGTCTACGAAAACACCGAAAAAGTAGGATTCCTAAAAATTAGGACCCCGAAAAGGTACCCCTAATTTCGAAAGTTCCCAGGTGTATCAACCGGGGACTTCGCTAGGGCTCTGGACTTTTGTGAGGGTCTTGATCACCCTAAACCCTAAACCCTAAACCCAGGGTCGTGTCACGCTGATGGCGTCCACCGCGATGCGAGCATGCGGCATCTCGGCCAGCAAGGAAAGAGCCCACTGCCACTGCCCATTCCTTGGGGGCAAAAACTGGGATCATGTGCCCCTGCACCACTAGAACCCGTATTTGGGTGCATGAACCCTAAACCCTAAACCCGCCTAAACCCTAAACCCATCCTATTGGAGTTCATTCGGTGCCCCCAAGGCTCTTCTCACAGCATGAGATGGCAGCATTGAAGACGATCGCATTCGGGGCTCCTTTTGCCTATAGTCATGCCAACAATCGCAAAAACAAGTGTATTAGGGTTTAGGGTGTAGGGTTCAGGATTATTTAGGGTTTAGGACGCTCTGGCAACTGAAACTTTCAGAAATTCTCCGTTATGCAGAGCATCGCTGCCCAGCTACGCGTGCCTTCGACAGAACTTTCAGTGCGAGCTGCCACTGCCCGCCTGTCTCGCAGGCGCGGAGAAGGGAGCCCAAGCTGACATGGTTGGCCGCGAGAGTTGCTTCTGACATGCCGAAGAACAATTCTAAGGCCATCTGCCTGGGTTGGTGCTTTCAATCTCTCTGAAGAAATATTCTAAACACTGAAATGTCCTATATAGGATCCTCTTTAAGGGAACATATCAAATATCCCAAGGGCCTGCCCAGCTGCCATTCCCCCGCCCTGGCGCAAGCTCCGATGCAGGCGCTGAAGCTGATGACGTCGGAGGCAAGGTCGTGTTGCCGCATGGCAGCTAACATAGCCTTGGTAGCCCAGTAACCCTAAACCCTAAACCCTAAACCCTAAACCCTAAACCCTAAACCCTAAAAAGGGTAAGGGGTACCACTGGGCTACCAAGTAGCAATGGCCCTCTGCCACTGACCGGCCTTCTCACAGGCGCTGATGCTCGCGTTGAAGGTGATCTTGTTTGGCGTCGCGCCGGCTTCTGGCATGCCTATACTCCCTTTAGAACCTAAATAAAAAAACAACATTTTGTTTGAATATCCTCTGGGTGTTTTATATGAACAAAAATGAACAATAATTCCAAAGGGTGATAAAGGATGCTGTTGAGCAGGCAGAGCGCCATCAGCCACTGCATGCCCTTCTCGCAGGCGCTGATGGTGGCGTTGAAGCTCACTGTGTCTGGCATGGCCCGGGCACCTGCCATGTCCACCAGCAGCTGAAGGGGCATCTGCCACTGCCCAGACTTCTGGCAGGCACTGATGGCCGAATTGAAGGTGACCTCATTGGGCAGAACATCAGCTCCTGGCATCTCATGGAGCAGCTCAAGAGCCAGCTGCCACTCGCCACCCTTTTCGCAAGCACTTATTGCAGCACTGAAGCTGATGACGTCACGCACAAGCTGCTCAGAATGCATCGCTGCCAGCAAGCACAAGGCGATCTGCCATTGGCCACCCTTCTCACATGCACTGATGCTGGCATTGTAGCTAATCTCGTCTGGGGCGGCCCTCGCTATAGGCATGGTGGCCAGCAAATACAGAGCGTGCTGCCAGTGTAGCCCCTTCTCGCAGGCACTAATGCAAGTATTGAAAGTGATTTGATCAGGAACTGTAGTGCTGGCCAGCATTCGGGACAGGAGGCAAAGCCCCATTTGCCATTGCCCACCCACCTCGGGTCTTAGCAGGACATTCGGGATTTCGGTACCCGATATATACGCCTGAAAGGGTCATGTGGGGCTTCCATGGCACCTTAAAGGGTTCTATTGGGGAGGCGAATCAGGTATCCAACTCCCCAACTTCCCTACGAAGAATGCGGTTATGAGCCCTTTGTGGCCTTCAAACTCTGAACAGTTTGGACTGAAGGGGCTTACAAGGGGAACCAACACCCTAAAAATATAAAAATTAAAATTAAAATAAGGGCCAACTCTGGTCCTAGACAACCTGGACCCCTCAAGTACCCTTTAAGATCTCCTAAATACCCCCCCCCCCCCCCCATAGGCCGTTAACGGAGCACCTCGGTGGTTTTGATGGCGGCATTGAAGCTGACGACGTCGGGTGAAAGTTTGCAGGCGGCCATCTCCTCGGTTTGACCCATAAAAAAGAACCTAGGGTTTAGGGGTTTAGGGTTTAGGGTCTAGGGTCTAGGGTTTAGGGTTTAGGGTTTAGGGTCCAGCCCCTACTACTTCCAATGACCTACGACTTATGCTGCTAGAACCCTTATATTATGGGGGCAGAGGATGGCAAAGTCAATGCAGCCCTGGAAGTATAGCAGGTTCGACTTCTAGACCCAGTTTAGGGTTTCGGCCTGAGGCTTTAGGGTTTAGGGTTTAGGACCCAGGAGGAACCTAGGAATAAGAAGGGGCGCCCTGTTTGGTTTTAAGGGAAATATAAGGGAACCTAAGCCCTAAACAAAGGAAATCAGGAATTTAAAGGGTACCCTTTTCGGCTTTAAGGGGATTATAAGGGAACCTAAGCCCTAAACAAAGGAAATAAGAGCCTGCTCCGGATCTTAGACTTTAAAAGAATCTACAAAGGGGGTTCCCAAGGTCGTACCTGGCCTCCGATAAGAGCAACACAGCCCACTGCCATTGAAGGGAGTGCTCGCAGGCGCTGATCGCGGCGTTGAAGCTGAACGTGTTCCTTGGTAGCCCAGGAACCATATCAAAATACGGGCACCCTTTTTTGGGTTGGTTACTTTCGAAGGGAAACCCAGAACAAAAAAAAAAAGGAAAAGGGTACCACAGGGCTAGTAAGGTTCGGCTGAGTCTGAGCCGCCGGCATTTGAGACAGTAGCAGGAGTGCCAGCTGCCACTGCCTTGGGAAGATAATCAGTGGGCCCAAAACCCTTAAACCCTTAAACCCTTAAACCCTAAACCCTTAAACCGTCAGTGTAGCTGAATAGGGCTATTTTGGGGGATATCCTAGAGGTCCGCCTGAGGAGCATGTCTGGATTTTGGGGGTAACTGACAGAGTCCAGAACCCATCCCCCACCCCCCCCCCCCCCCCCCCCTCCCGCCCGCCCCAAACAAAAGCCCTAAACGCTAAACCCTAAACCCTAAACCCTAAACCCTAAACCCTAAACCCTAAACCCTAAACCCTAAACCCTAAGCAAAAAGCTGTTAGGCATCATTGTGACCACGAGCCGCTGGCCCTTGCTGCAAGAAGTAATCGCCGCACTGAAGCTGTAGACAGTCGGCACTGCCCTGGCGGCCACGATGCCTCGGATGGCCCCTTCTTTGAGGGTTTAGGGTTTAGGGTTTAGGGTTTAGGGTTTAGATTTAAGGTTTGGGGTTTGGGGTTTTGGGTTGCTAGGGCCTAGAGTAGGCCCTTGTTCCTTTTTTGAAGGGTTTAGGTTCCCTTACAAGCCTCTTAAAACGAAAAAGGGCACCCATTCTAGTCCTAGGTTACTCTTCGGTGTAGTTTTACTTAATTTCGCGTTTAGTTTTAGGGGTTGATCGGGTTCAGGGATATCTTTATCTGAGCTGGATTGCTTGTTCAGAAGGTTGAGACCCCGGGCACACTTTCCCCAAGGGCCAAACCCCAAACCCAAAATCCCAACCCCCAAACCCTAGACCCAAAAAGGGGAAAAAAGGACTAGGCAAACTTTTCCCAAGCGCCTCCCTAGAAACTTGTCAAGACATGTAGGGCAGCTTCCCACAGTTGCGCCCGGCCGCACCAGGAGATCACCTCGTGACAACGCCGCACCGGGTGTAGGGTTTAGGGTTTAGGGTTTAGGGTTTTGGGTTATGAAACTAAACCCTTGAAACCACAGAAACCCTAGGGCTTGGGGTGAAAACTCTAAACCACAAAAACTTCGAACCCCAAACTCGTGAGCATCCAAGGCTCCTACAGGATCCTACAGGGCTAGCTTCGGGTGATGAACAGGAACCAAAGAACACAGGGTTTCCCTGACGGATTGGGGTTTAGGATTTCGGGTTTATAAGCCCGAAATGGTCTAGGGTTTAGGATTTTGGGTTTAAGGTCCGGGTTTGGGGTTTAAGGTTTATAGGGTTTAGGGCTTGCATGTTTGAAAGGTTAGAGCACGATGAGATTGCAAAACAAGGGTTTAGGATGGTGCGGGGTTAAGCATTTAGGGAATTTAGGGGTTGGGTGCCCAAAGAAGGGGTATGTACCCTAAACCCAGGGCTCGGGAGTTGTAGGATCTAGGGAAATCCCAAACCCTGGCCTAAACCCTATAAACCTCTAACCCTAAAAGCTCGCCCTACAGAATTCCTTTTCCCTTATGGGTCGGCTGATTTTTTGTTGGCTCTCCCTAGCCTTGCAATATGCAGGTCTTGAGTTCGCCGGCTTATGTGAGCCTTGCACATTTCTTTCTCTATTGTACAGGTAGGGCCCCCCTTAGTATACTAACTTTGCTTAAGGGAGTTACAACCTAAATAGGAAGACTTATAGCCCAATTTAGGGCCTTCATCACCCTACTTCTAACTAGGGGGCCCCTACTTGTATCAATAATCACTAAACAACACGAACATCCAACATTCGGATTCCATCATATCTGAATGTGGAGAAACAGATACAACACATGCAGCAATCTGACGTTGGACGGTGATTACTGCAAATACGCGGGTTCACGAATTTATTGGCAGCGTCGTAGCGCTTTGGTAGACAGCGCTTTCATTAGAATGCTTGCGCCGAGTGTTGTGTTTGCAGCCTATAAAGACAGGCTCTATGCACAGATCTAAAGTGATAAATGTGGGGGGGGGGGGGGTTTGTGGTTTACGGAAAGTAAGGGGCCCCTAGTATAGTCCCCCAAATAGTAGTATTCCCTTATACTAAGAACCCCAAAAAGGTACCCCTAGTTTCGGAAACCCCCATGCGAAATGTACAAAATGTGGAGGGCCTCGCGGCACGTTCGTTGGTCGCCAATGTCTTCTGCGGCGAGATGGCGAAGAGCAGCTCGCCAGTCCTTCCTCAAGGTAGGGTTTCGGGTTTCGGGTTTAAGGTTTAGAGCTTATAGGGCTTAGGGCTTAGAGTTTAGGGTTAGGGCTTATAGGGTTTAGGGTTTAGGGCTTGGGGTTTAGGGTTTCAGGACTCAAAACCCTACACATTTAGGGCCTTCTCTGCGCCAGACTGCTCGCCGGAACCCTGAGACTTCAAACCTAAACCCCGAAACCCGCCTAAAACCCTGCAACCGGCAGACCCCGAGCGCTGTCGGCGTCAGGGCTCATAGGGGTTTGCAGAAGGTTTGGGTTGTGTGGTATACTTCGGGCCTTCACTAGGGCGCCTAACCCTAAACCCTAAACCCTAAACCCTAAACCTTGAACCCTAAACCCTAAACCCTAAACCCTAAACCCTAAACCCTAAACCCTAAACCCCCTCAGGCGAACTTGCAAGCCTCCCGAGGGCAGCCGCAAGGGCCATGCCAGGACGACTCAGCTCTGGACGGGAACATGGCGGAAGGGCAGCTTCTGAGTCTGTCTGAGTCTGCTCCGCCCTAAACCCTAAACCCTAAACCTTCTGAGTCTGTCTGAGTCTGCTCCGCCCTAAACCCTAAACCCTAAACCCTAAACCCTAAACCCTAAACCCTAAACCCTAAATCCTAAACCCTAAACCCTAAACCCTGTAGGTTTCAGTCTGCTCCAGCCGCCCTACACCCGAACCCTAAACCCTAAACCCTGAACCCTGGAGGTGTCCAACCTTTGGGTTAAGGGTTTAGGGGTAGGGGATCGGGTTTAGGGTTTAGGATTTAGGGTTTAGGGTTTAGGGAATGCGGTGTACAAAAAAACACTGTTCAGCCCTAAGGCCTAAACCGCTAGCAGCCCAAACTTCATTCTCTGGGTTCAGGGTTTGGGGTTTGGGGTTTAGGCTCAGGTTTGCTAGGGTTTAGGGTTTAGGGTTTGGGGTTTGGGGTTTGGGGTTTAGGGTTTAGGGTTTGGGGTTTAGGGTTTAGGGTTTAGAGTCTAAAGAGGTTTGAGGTGGAGTTGCATGAGTCTGCGGGTTGCAAGGCATTGGCAACTGGGTCTCCTCCAAAGCCCCGACCCGTAAACCCTAAACCCTAAACCCTAAACCCTAAACCCTAAACCCTAAACCCGAAACCCTAAACCCTAAACCCGAAACCCTACACGCAAAATTCAGGGTTCAGCAGCCTTCCTGCAACGCCCGGCCCAGGATCGCAACATGACATGACATGTCGGGGGCGTAGGGCTTCGGGCTTTGGGCTTAGGGCTTAGGGCTTCGGGCCGAGGGCACTTCAGGGCCAAGGGCTTAGGGCTGAAGGCTTAGGGCTGAGGGCTTAGGGCTGATCGCTTAGGGCTCAGGGCTGAGAGCCTGGGGTTCAGGGTTTAGGGCAGGGGGATCGGTGGCTTAAAACACGCAAGACCTTCACCGTCCCTTTCTAACCCTAAGCGCTAAAATCTATAAGCCTGTTCGGGCGCAACCCCTCGAAGTCAAACCCTAAACCATCCTAACCCTAAGCCTTCAGCCCTAAGCTCTAAGCCCTCAGACCCTAAGACCCTGAACCCTAAGCCCACAAAACCCCTCCTCACCATTCCTGGACGTAAATCCTAAGCTCCAAAACCACAGAAAAAATAAGCTCAACCCCTGGCCCTACCCTAAACCCTAAACCCTAAAGCCTAAACCCTAAACCCCAAGCCCCAGACCTTGAACCCAAAAGCCTTCAAATCAGTGTTTACGGGCCTCCAACCAACCCTGAACAAACATCGCAACCACTCGGAGTGAGGGGGTTCAGGGTTCAGGGTTTACAGGTTTTAGGGTTCAGGGCTGAGAGGTTTAGGGTTTAGGCTTTAGGGTATAGGGGTTGGGGTTTCGGGACGCCCTCGAATTCGATGCTTCGGGCAGGCCTCGGGGACTGGGGTATCGACCGAGTATGCACTTGGAGATTCACACGTGCAAGTAGGGCTGAGGGTTTAGGGTTTAGGGTCTAGGGTTTAGGGTTCAGAGTTATGTAAGTAGGGTCACTATGGCTACAACGGTTGCAACCATATTTTGTGTACTCAACACCAAACCTCTCTAAGCACACATGAGCCTGCGACGATCAACCGAGTACACAAGGCCTTTGCTTATGTGCGAGGCATCTGGAATTTTGGACGTGGGGGGTTTTGGGTTTAGGGTTTAGGGTTTAGGGTTTAGGAGGGGGGGGGGGGGGGGGGGGGGGGGGCGATTTAGAGGGGCATTGCTTTTGGAGGGCCATGGCTCTCATTCTCTGGCAAGCGACGAGACTCTGAAGCGCTTGCTGCCCAACCCTAAACCCTAAACCCTGAACCCTAAACCCTAAACCCTAAACCCTAAACCCTAAACCCTAAACCCTGAACCCTGAACCCTAAACCCTAAACCCTAAACCCTAAACCCTAAACCCTAAACCCTAAACCAACCCTAAACCAAAGAAGTCTCAGCCTTGAGAGCCTGGTACGCTTGCCGAAGTTGTTCGGACACCGTCTCGTCATGCGATTCTATACTCTAAGACATCTCTGGGGCCCAAAGACCATATACCAAAAATGCCAAACAACGAAGGTTTAGAGTTTAGGGTTTTGGGTTCGGGACCTAATCCGCAAACCCTAAACCCCTTAAACTTTGCACGCTCCGAATTCGCCATGCACTGGTGTGTTGCAGGGGACCACACAACACAGCTCCCTTACACTCTCCGGAGCCCTGTGTGTCAGGAGTCTCGGATTTAGGGGAAAAAACCCCAAAGACCCAACACCTGAAACCCCGAACCCTAAACCCTAAACCCTAACCCTAAACCCCGAACCCTAAACCCAAAACGGGTTTAAGGTGGTAAGCTGTCAGCAGTGCATGTGGCC